GTGTGGCTCTCACCTCCTTTCCGTGTGCGTGGCTCTCACCTCCTTTCTGTGTGTGTGGCTCTCACCTCCTTTCCGTGTGTGTGGCTCTCACCTCCTTTCCATGTGTGTGGCTCTCACCTCCTTTCCGTGTGTGTGGCTCTCATCTCCTTTCCGTGTGTGTGGCTCTCACCTCCTTTCTGTGTGCGTGGCTCTCACTTCCTTTCCGTGTGCATGGCTCTCACCTCCTTTCCATGAGTGTGGCTCTCACCTCCTTTCCGTGTGCGTGGCTCTCACCTCCTTTCCGTGTGCGTGGACTCACCTCCTTTCCGTGTGTGTGGTTCTCACCTCCTTTCCGTGTGTGTGGCTCTCACCTCCTTTCTGTGTGTGTGGCTCTCATCTCCTTTCTGTGTCTGTGGTTTGGAATCAGGCAGCATGTGGCCTTTTGTGTTTGTGTTTCTGCACTTTGAGTAATGTTTCAGAATCCAATGCCTGTTCTATGTCATTCCTGTGTTACAACCCGTAATGTGGGTTTTGCTTGTCCATCCGTCAGTGATGGACGTTTGGGTTGTTTGCACATTTTTGTCATGATGCCTCATGTGGCCTTCATTCATCGTGATCTGATGAAAGCCATGGACCCTGGAAAAGATGCATGCTTGTCCATCTACATGGTGTTGTCTAGAAGATTCTCCCCTTCCATTGGACTGCCTGTGCTTCCCCTTTGCTTGTTACATTATAGTCATCTTTCTGGAAAGAAAAAGGGCAAAGAAGGCAAAGAATAACTAAATATGTTACTGTGTTATCTTTGTTTCATTGGAATCTCACTTTTTTACTTTAAGGAAACTATCTCTGGATATTTTCTGGATAGACTAATAATAGAGGGAGAATTTTAGTCTGGACACAAACTTCCTAGTATATCGTGGCTTTTACTCACCTACAGTAATGTGTTGCTGGGGGATACAAGCATATTAGATGGAAGAAAAGATTTTAAATATTTGTATCTTTCACCACAAGTAACAGTTGTGTTTTTACATGCATGCAGCCAAAGCAAAGGACTTTCGTTATAACTTATCAGAGGTACTTCAAGGTAGGCTACTGGGGATACATTTTAAGTCTACCCTGTGAGTCTCTAAAACTTTATTCTACTAATTTAGTTATCACCACTTGCACTGGAGAATGTGTTAGGGCAATGCTGCCTTAGACATTTGTGTGGATGGATAGTTTTTTCTATCTTTTAATGTTATTCAAGCTCTGTACCATGTGTAACCTTGACCTGCACGTTGGTGCTTTTCATTTTCATACTAGTAGAAATGACAGCACCCTCATCGCTTCATAATTATTAATGCTGTCATTTTAAATGTGTGTGTGCTAGTCAGACTTCTGCTTAGCAAGTTAACAGTTTTCCTAAGTAAAGCAATGGCTCTGGGGAAATAAAGATTGATCATTAGCTATTCTGCAAGCTGCTTTTTTTTT